CTTGGTACTGTGTGTGTGTGAGTGTGTGTGTGTGTGTGTGTGTGTGTGTGTGTGTGTGTGTGTGTGTGTGTTACAAAACACTATTCCAGCACCGCTGTAAAATATGTTCTACACAAATCTCTCTGAATCTCCTCTAAACAGATTTTACTTACCGTTTTCACTTTCACTCGCTTTTTTTATCAAACACACACACACACACACACAGTACCAAGGAGGTATACAAGCACCATCTAGTGCTTTATTCTGGAATTTGCTCTGCAGAAGGACAGAAATGTGATGAAGAATCCCACATTTTCAGTTATTTTCTATTTAGAATATTTCTTCTTACATGATTCAACATTTAAATATCCAAATTCTCAATGGAGAGAGATGGTTAAGTACATTTGGCATCTCATTCGGAGAATAGGATAACAACTGTGACCAAACAGCATTCAGCAAAGCTGCACAAATACAAAACAATGAAAAACACAATGCCTGTTTGATTATAAGTCCACAATTGTGCCTCTTAGTCAGCTTGACTCCTGTCGTGAAGGACTTGCATGTGTTTAAAAACAAAGGAAAAAGCAATTAACACATAAAATAAACAAATATTACTATGTTCCTTAAACTTTCCCTAATCCATTGTCAAAACTTAGATTTCCTTTTTAAAAACAAGTTTCTCATTCTAGATCAAGACTTATGCTCAATGAATACTGTGTGTGTGTGTGTGTGTGTGTGTGTGTGTGTGTGTGTGTGTGTGTGTGTGTGTGTGTGTGTGTGTGTGATGTGTGTTATGTGTGTGTGTGTGTGTGTGTGTGTGTGTGTGTGTGTGTGTGTGTGTGTGTGTGTGTGTGTGTGTGTGTGTGTGTGTGTGTGTGTGTGTGTTTAACATTATGTACCTCCTTTCCTCAGCTTTCATAGATAAGTAGACGCTGATGGTGGAAACATGGACTAGTTTCAACAACTCGGCTGTATCTGAACTCATCAACTCACGTCACTAACCTGTTAGCGCTGAAACAATCACTCATTTCACTGAGACGTGTGCATTTTTGAACAGTTATGCAACAAAAAGCCAAATACAGTTTAAAGCAATGATATAACTGAGGCTAAGTTCAGACCTAAGACGTGTTTTTTCTCTTTCCTGGGAAAAAGCCAATGCATGAGAGGTTTCTTAAGAAATGATCTGATTCAAACTATTTATTATATCTACTAGAAACCCAGATGTTTTAAAAACAAATACCAAAGTATTCCCATCACTTCTTGTAGTAGTGGAGACGAAACAAACAAAGTACTGGGTGTAGAAAAATGTTTCAAGGGCTGGAAAAGTCCCAATGACACCCATGGGCGGCCTAAATCACTACAAGTCCAGGTTAAAAAAGTTTTAAAGGTCAGAAAAATAGTTTGGAGACAGAAAGATTATACAAACTATACAGAACTGGATGTCACGTTTGACGAATGTGTTTTAATTAAAAGTGTAAATGTATTTCGGACTCAGATTTGGACTCTGACGTTCACTCCCTATAAGCACGCCAAAGCAAAAGATAAGCTGCTGACCCATCAGCCCTCTTTATCGAAAAAGCTTGGCTGACATACTCAGCCTGAGTGCACCGTATTAATAGTCTCTTTGACCTTTGATCTTAAGGCTCTAGAGTTATCAAGTAAGATTGGTTATGAAAGTATTCTTGCCTTAATGTATCTCAAGACGCTGACATTTGACTGTTACTGAGAGATATCTGGAGACTGAGGGTTAAAGTCCCCCTCGGCACACAGGCTGTTGTTGACCTTCCCTGTGCAGACTGATGGATGTGATTCTACTGCTTCCACTTTCTCCTACAGAGAAGGAATATGTGTCTCTGTGCTGAGCTTTAACCTGAGTTAAACATGTGAGCACAAGAATGATTGGAGACATCAATGTTTTTGGAAGCTAGTATGGAAGCCACGTAAGGTCAAATAGGCAACCTAAATAGTCGATGTGAAAACCTACAGCTTTTCATTGAAAAGAAGACATTTTCTGTCTAGGTCAAAAAACTTCTAACATTAAAAAATACCTTGTATTTTTTGTTTTAGCAAGAAATACAATATGGAAAAATCATATCAAACACAAATTGTTATTCCAATCAGTCTATTCTATATGTCTTTCAGTATGTCTAAATGGGGTCTTTGAACAATAAATGCTCATAGTTATTGGTTATTGTTTAGGCTCATCCACACTGATAATATTAAAGGGAAACCAGTTACAGACACAGCTGTAGTACCATGCTAACCTCAACAGACCTTTGTGGCATTTCTGCCAAACACCGTGTAATTTGAATTGAGCATACAAATTAGTTTGAGTCAGATAATAAACATGTGTGGAAAGTGTGATTGATTTATTTGACATTATGCATGCAATCCACACAAACAACATACAACAAGGCCTCCGCAAACAAACAAGCTTCAGGCCCAATGAAGCCTGCACAATTACTGACTAAACATATGGGTAAACCTACTTGGTGGTACCCAGCTGTCTGCCATAATATTTACTGTACTGCTTGCATCCAGCCAAGAGTAATACAGGCTCAGATTTAATGTCTGGATTTCATGGAGTTCACAGATAAAGCACAGACTTGTTGAAATTAACTTTTGAAAAACTGCACTGATAATTGTTTTTTCAGAGCATTGGTAATGTTGCCAGAAACTGACAACACGATGAGACACATTTTATTTTATGTAGTCTGAAGCACTGGTACACCACTTAAGTCCAGGCACTGCTGTTGACCCTTAAAGAGGCTTCAGTGGATCAGCAGTATCACTTCTCAAAGATAAACATTATACTCTAAAATCCAAACTCGTCCACTAATATTCAGTGGTGGAAGAATTATTCAGATATTTGATTTCAGTTCAAATAAATAACACAATGTCATAATACTTCAGTGGAAAATAAAAGTTGTGTAGCTTATTTTAACGTTAGTAGTACATTAGGTTAAAGCCTTATGAGTTGTTACAGCAAAACCTATTCAGTGTCTAATAGTAAAAGTATTAACTATGGGAGAAAAAATAACTCTTTAACTCAGTTAGATTATTATGTATTATACTGTTTCAATGTTGTGGAGCTATGTACAGTATTGTTCAGTATAATATTTTACTGATTGTTTAATTAACTGTAACAAAGGCTAGACATTGATATGCTCATTGTATATGTCGTATAATAAAATCTACAAAGTAACTAGCTGCTAGTAATTCACGTAGTGAATGTAGCATAGTCACATAAAAAGCAGGTTTGGGACATTTTATTTGCTTTTTCTGCCATGGTAAAGCCATTGGAACATGTAAGTAAACTTCTGACAAACACACGTTCATACCTTACCTATGGTTCACTACTTACCTTACAGTCTACGTTCTTACCTTACAGTCTATGGTTCATACCTTGACAACACAACAGCGCAGTTTTTCTGCATTTCGCAAACTACTGCAGCGCCGTCGAACGAAGCTCCCCGGCACCCGTAGTTTGATGACGTTGCCGGCTAAACATGGTGGATGGAGCACAATTCAAAAACACGGCAAAAGTGTTTGCGGAACAGATTAACAAACCGTGAATATAAACTATCAGACTGGCTGCTCCAAGACACGAATCATCTACGGAGCAGTTAACACAACAATGTACAGCAGAGGTTGCGCTATGTGTGTAGTTTTAGTGAGCGATGTCACAGCCACATGGCTCTGAGTTCACTGAGATGTGGAGGAATATTTGCAAACTGAGCAGCAACAACACAACGGACAAGAAAACAGGACAGCAAATACATGGCACACCAACAACAGCCATGTGTAAAGGTGAGGATGCAGATCTGTTTGATTTAATGCTCTGAATGATTAGGTTAAACAACTGGTGGATTGAAGCCATTCAACCCTGTGTGCTACTAGGGGGAGCGGCGGCGGCAGCGGCCATTAGATCAAACGCAATTGTGACAACATGCTTACTGACTTCACTTATTACTTTAACTAATGTCACAATGGTCACAATACACCATAAACATTTAAGTTCATGATTTAGTGTCAATGTTAATCTATGTGACACGTGGGAAATATTATATATTGATAAGCATCTTCTTACTTAGAGAGACATCGAATTAGATTTTTTTAAAGGCATTAAATATATAGCAATGACTTCTTAAACTTGACATACAACGGTGTCTTTGACGCATAACGTTAGGATGAGGTTTGGGATCTAAGTTGGTCATATTAGAACTCAATTAAGATGTTAATTTTGCAGGACTGTTAGCTACATTTTCTGTAGCTGCTAGAAGCTGATGGTATCAGCTGTTTAACAGAAGCTTAGGACTTTACCAGTTGCATAAATGTTACTAAGTGTTCCTCTCAGATCTAAATTCTTGTCATCTCAGAAAAGCCTCTGAAGTAGCATTTACATCAACAATGTCACACTAAGAAGACTTATACTAGTCCTATCATGTATATTGTTTTCCTAAATGCACAAACTAATTGTAGTCATGGAACAACATGGAGGATATAGTCTAACACTTGATTTGTGTTTGATGCACAGATCTGCAGAGCCCAAAGCGGATAGGCTTCAGCAGATACCCCGGCTTGAATAATGGGGATTCTCCAGGTGATGGAGAACCATCACAGGACATCTTCTGGGACTCTGCGTCGCCCACAGCTGGTACTGGTAAACCAAATAGCAACACATAGGGCACATCTGTTTTCTGTTTCCATTTTATTTATTTTTTAAATCACAGACTTTTATATCTGAATTACAGCTTAATGAGCTTATACATAATTGACAACCTGCACACCTGCTAAAGATGCGTCTTGCTGTTTTACTTGGGGATGGAAACTACACATAGATACAAATAATGATGCTATATGACCATACAAATGCAATAACACTGAAATGACTTTCAATAATACTTTCAAAAAAATCTTTGTGTTTGAAAACACAACTTGGATCATATTTATGATAAGTAATTTCCATTGTTTTTAGGGCGTTTAGTCAGTAATAGTTTCTATCTGTCTCCAGGGCCCGGACACGTGAACACAAGAGTTGTGGAAATATCCGATATTGTCAACCGTATTGCTCCAAAGGTCAGTTCTTTCTTATTTTCTTGGTTGTACCACTCAGTTTGAGGCGCTGTACTAAGGTTTTTGACTTCTTCTGCAATTATTTTGAATACAATTCTTAAACTATTGCTTATTTTGTGTGTTTTAAAAGGATGTGAAGCGGAATGAGAATGATTCTCCTCTGGTGCAGTGGATAGGTGACGGTGCCTTCCACCGCACACCGGAAACACCAACGCCAAGCGTGAGAAAGAGGTCCTCAAGGTGTGTTATCTATTCATTAAACCAGAAATTCTCTCACTCGGGACAACAGATTCATTGCCTACATTAACAAACACTATTTGCCAGCATTAAAGTTAATTTTTACTAGTAGCATTTGTTTATTTTGGATTAGAAGAAACACCAGATTCACATTTTCTCTTTATTTTTTTTTCTTTCTCTCTACAGGAAGAATAGCGTGGACGACCTCAAGAAACTAGCCAGGCAGTTTGATGACAACATGAAGCAGACATCAGTCCTTAGTAATGTGAAGGACCCATCGGATCAGGTGGAGGCCGAGCTGCACGCTCTATTTGACTCCTCCACCCAACAAATCAGCGGCTTCCTGAGCCAGGGCTCGTCAACATCGGCCCGCGCGCAGGAAACAGCTGCACATCCTGCTGGAGCAAAGGCATCTTGTAATGACGACTGGGAGGACGACGACCTCCTTGACTCCTTTGTGCTGTCTATTCCTATTCCTGACAAAATCACTAAATATCAGAAGGGTGGTGTAGACTCTGTTAAAGACATTGCAGACAGCTCATGGGATGATGGGGACGATGACGCGCTGCTCTACCAGGTATGTGACACTGTGGAGAAGATCTCTAACAGTCAGCCACAGCAAGCAAGCACCAGCAACTGCCAAGCAAAGCAAGATATTTCTGTAGACAGGCAGAGAAAAACCCCTGTGCCAATCGACACATCCCGGCTCATGGTCGCCGGTGCCAGTGCTAATATTCGGTCGCCACGTGTTTTTGTTCGCTCTAACTCATTACCGGAGACTAGCAGTAAAACTGTGAACTACCAAGGGTGGAACATTCCCATAAAGGGTGCCAGCAACAGATCACAGATGTCTCAGAGCCACCCGGGAAGCCGTGGTAGTCTGGGCACATTTAACCAGGGCAGGGATTCTTCTGGAACTTTCCAGGCCGGGAATGTGGACATGAAGCCGCACTCGGTGTCAGCCGGGACATCGAAGAGCTCCAAGTTCCACCACACGGCCTTCAAGAGAAACGTGTCTGACTCGGCAGCTGTAAGCAGCAAAGGTGAGCTGTCTAACATGTGTTATTTACTCCTGCTCTCTATTAAAGCATGATAAAGAATAGTTTAGATTACATTTGATTGTCATTGCACAGAGTAAAAGTACTGTTATCATCTCTAACCAGCATTGCAAGAGAAGCAGTAAAGTGCATCATATAAATATGACAGATATAAAAAAAAATTCCAAAAGCATGTACACTATGAAAAGTATTATAAGTTACAAACACTCTGAACAGTAGTATGAATGTTGAATACACTATAGAGGGAATAGGAAAATAAACAGTATACTATAGATGCTGACATAACAAACGTATGAACACCTTATAGAACAGTAAAGACACTATAGACACAAATAATATGAATTATTGTTATTAGAACACTATAGAAAGTATAACTAATATGGACAGTTTTATAATAAAAATAAGCAAATAAATGACTTATTCAAAGAAAACATGATTAAATTAAGCTAAAGTGAAATTATGTCAACACATAAGAACACATGTTTGTCGTAAGAAAAGTCATAAGGAAAATACATTAACGCTTTTCTATAATTCGACAGCATTATAGTAAATGCATTTGATAAGTGGTATCCAGTAGAATATGTGAAAACTAAAGCAGGGTGTCCGCGGGGTCTTTAAGATTTGATAAATCAATTTAGCGAAAATGAAGGCTATTAAAAAGTATTAAACGGCATTTTCCATGGTATTACATTTTGTAGCTTGTTTTCAATAAGTAGGCCTACTGTATATATACAGTAGAAGGGTTGTATTCTACAGTCGGCCTGAATGTAGCATCATTGACCGTATGGTGTGTTAGTGGATTCTGGTGTAGGTTTATTTATGGCGTCCCGTTGGATTTAGACGTCATCTGAACAGGGACATCTCACGCTCACTGCTTGATAAAGCGCCGAGAGCTCCGTTTACGCCGTTGCTAACGCAACATCGTCATGGGGAAAATGCAAGTTTGTGTCCAAATGTTTGGAAGATAAGGAGGAAGGACAATCAAGTCGTATAATANAATACCTTCCTCGCAGTCCCACAGTGTGACATATAGGCATATAACAAGATACGGAGGCATGCGGCGCAGTGGGTTGTGCGTATGTGTTGGGATCAGGGGGTCACAGCAGGTTCAAACCCCACTGCAGTCAGCATGTCGTTGTGTCCCTGAGATACTTCACCCCAAAGTGCTCCTGTGGGGATTGTCTACAGTATTGAGTATGTAAGTCGCTTTGGATAAAAGTGTCTAACATGTAACAAGTAATGTAAAAGATACAAAAAGGGCCTAGATAACGGGGGTATAAAAACTAAGTTGGAAACATAGATACACAGAGAAATAAAAAAGATACTGCTCTTTGTATCAGAGGAAAACTCAGTGGACATTTTTAAACACCAGCTAAAGACACACCTTTTTAGATTAGCATTTTATTAGCAACCCCTCGTTATTTATCTAACATGCTTCAGTAGCAACATTTCTTTTGACGTTGGTCTTTTTTATTTCTTAATTGCGTAACCTTTATTAGAATTATGGCATTTTTATTACTATTATGTTTTTATTTGTATTTCTGTTGTATCTATACGTTCACTTTGGCTTATGGGGTTGTATATGTATGTATGTATGTATGTATGTATGTATACTTTATTAATCCCCGTGGGGAAATTGTTTCTCTGCATTTGAACCATCCTAGTGTTAGGAGCAGTGTGCTGCCATTATGTACGGCGCCCGGGGAGCAGTGTAGGGAACGGTGCCTTGCTCAGGGACACCTCGGTAGCACTTGGTATTGCCGGGACTTGAACTGGTGACCTTCCAGTTGCCAAGCCAAGTCCCTATGGACTTCGCCACCACCGCCCAATATATGTTATATTGTTGCATGGACTCAGTCCTCTTGTGTCCTATCTGTCGGAGAGAAACCATTATTTATTATATTTTATTATCAAAGATTTGACCTCCTTGTGTCTGTCTGATCAGATGTTTTTGTATTATATTGTGCTGCATGGACCTTTGAGCTGCACGTGTTGTATGAAAAGTGCTGTATAAATAAAGCTTTATTATTATTATAAATACTAGGTTATCCCGAGAACCAATATTATGTCTGACCCTCCACTGAACAACCCAAATACTACTGTTATCATATAGTAATATCTTTCTAATAGTACTTGTGTTTTATCTCCAGAGTAAAGAGCGAGATGTCTTCCTGGTGAAGGAGCACCCGGACCCCGGCAGCAAAGACCCCGAGGAGGAATACCCCAAATTCGGCCTTTTGGACCAGGTTTATTCATCATTCATTATAATAACATACTATCACTGACACGGGACATCTTTGTCTCGCTACCTGCTGGCTACCCCAACGTCTAACTTCAGTTGTATTGATTGTTCTGTAGGACCTGGGGACCATCGGACCCTCGTATGACTCACAGAAACAAACCAGTGCTGCTCCAAGTGCTGTAGGGGTGAATGGTAAGGGTAGAAGCAAATAAATGCATTTGAATGGTCATGCAGGTAAACTAAAGCCAACGTGGGGACATGTCTCCCATCACTGGCCTGTATAGAGTGGTGCAGGAAGGAGTCCCAGTTTAAACTCTTCCTGTCCACTGGTCTGGAAGTCAACGGTTTTCTGAATGTGTTTTTGGTTGTTAGCCTGAAATAAGGTCAACACAAGCTGAAGAGATTTGAACGCTTTGTTCTACGACATAAAATACGTCAGTAAATACCACACTGGTGGATTTAAAACAACTCATAACGTATCATAAGCGCTTCTGCAATCACCCAAAATCACACGGACAAATCCCATCTAACCAGGCAGATGCTGCCTTCAGGGTCAGCCTATAAAATCCGTCCTCCCTATATCACTGTATAAACTCCCCAAAGTTGAACCTAAGAGCATTTTGAAAATGATGACCTTTTCTGGAAGTCAATGGTTTTCTGAATGGTTGAAATAAGGTCTGTGGTTAACACAAGCTGGAGAGATTTTAACGCTTTGTTCCACGACAAACAATACGTCAGTAAATAATACCCCTCTGGTGGATTTCAAAAAGGTGATTTCCAACAAAAAAAAGTGTGTGTGAGCCTTTGAAACTGAGACCATTTAGGGAGGAGAAAAATAATTGAAAAAACATTTATTTATAATCATAATATCACAAACGTGCCACGATTAGTCGACTAATCGCCTTAAGTGACGGCTATTGGTCGACTAGAAAAATTGTATTGTAACTTTTTTTATGTCAGGGATTCCTAAGTTGATAACATTATCAAATGGATGAATGAAATGAGAAACGGTGGTTACGCGTCAGTACATTGGACAAATTCCACTTGGTTTCTATTTTTATTAGAACCTAAAATACGTCAGCAAATACCACACTGGTGAGTGTTTGTGTCTGGAGAAGAGGGGAAGAGAGGGAGTTGTCAGTAAATACCACACTGGTGGATTTAAAAAAGGTGGTTCCTAACAAAAAAAAAAAGTGTGGAGAAAATCCCATAGAGAGGCGAAGTCCCGCCCATCTACTTCCGACCCATGGGACCTTATTTCTGAAAAAGTATGTATTGAAGTCAATGGAGAGAGAAAGATTATCTCTCGATCCCGTTTGAATTGTGCCACGAATTACACATATGTTTGTCAATTAAAAAAAATAAAAAATACATGTCAAAAAAGTCAGTTTGTCGTAAAACTGTTGAAATATAAGACTATGAAAAATACGCAACTAGAAAGACTACAAATCCCAGAGTCCCGGTCCCGCATGCTGGCTCTTACGGAACCGACTAACTCCCCTTGTGTGTATGTACAGCTCTCAACATGCCCAGACTTGGAGTGATTTTCACCTCTTTTAATACTTTCCGCCTCATTCTGAAAGAAAGAAGTTAAATGTGCCAACGTGACGGCCGTCTTGGTGTGTGGTGCGAGATGGGAGATGTAGTTTATTGAGCGGTTTCACACAAAGTGTTACTTCACAGTTTTACCACACATTTTTATTTTTTGACTTGCAAAATTATCTTTTAAATTGACAAACATCATATGTGTAATTCGTGGCACAATTCAAACGGGATGGAGAGATAATCTTTCTCTCTCCATTGACTTCAATACATACTTTTTCTGAAATAAGGTCCCATGGAGGAAAGGGAGGGACTTCGCCTCTCTACTCTATTTCTATGTAAATACTGCCATATTTGACTATATTATTTTTAACATGTTTTAATGTGATTATAGTTTTCTTAAAATAGTTCTCTCTCTGTGTTTTCATTTTACTCTTATGTCTGCTCCATGACACCAAGTCAAACTCCTCGTACGAACATAATGTTATGTGTCAATACAAGACTATATGTTTCAAATGATTATAAGTTCATTTGACACGACACAGATGAAGTAAACAATATCAATGTCAGGAATAAATGACAACAATGAGCGAAATGTTGCAGAGAATGTTGTAATGCGAGAAAGAGGCAGCCATGTTGGTTCTCCAGCCTTCAGAGGAGCCTCTAATAAGACAGGATGCAATTATCAAAGTGTCATGGGGGTCCGTAGTGAAAGAGGATGGGCTGTGATGTGTCTGATGCGAGAGACACCAGGTGCATGCTGATGGACGGTGGGAAGACCTGCAGGCATAGAAAGAGGCAGCTTGTGGTCCACATCCAGAGGGTCGTTTCCCTCATGCAGGAGGCGCGTTTTTCTGAAGTACTTCATGTGTTTCCAGAAGTACTTCATGTGTTTCCAGCAGTACTTCATGTGTTTCCAGCAGTACTTCATGTGTTTCCAGCAGTACTTCATGTGTTTCCAGCAGTACTCTGTGTGTTTCCAGCAGTACTCTGTGTGTTTCCACAGTACTCTGTGTGTTTCCACAGCACTCTGTGTGTTTCCACAGTACTCTGTGTTGTTTCTACAGTACTC